GAAAAAGATACTGGTCGGCGGTGGCCCCGGAAGAGCGTTGAGCGGGTGGAGGGACGGCGAAATGACAAAGAGGTACGTGAAATACGCCCCCACGGCCACGACGGCGACGCTCCCAACGAGCAGCACTGGGTGCACACTGGCCAAGACGTCCATTGCAGACGACGTCAAACGAAAAATGAAGAAGCGGCGGCGTCCCTTCCAGATCGATCAGCTGGCCGCTTGCTCACCCGCGCGATTCGAAATCGCAAATATAGTGACCGTTGATGAGGAATTGCGCTGGCATCGTCATCGGCGACGTGAGCACCCGTGCAATCGACAGCCTTGCCCAATCAAACATGCGCCAGAAGCCATCTGTTGCTCGAACAGACAGCCCATGCAAGCCGCACGTTGCCCCTGGCATGTGTTTGTGATGACACCATGAGGAAACCAGTTGTCGCGTGCATAGTCCGGCCAGGTCGCACGCTTCTTGCTTTCAGCGTTGGTGCTGTCAAGGGCTCACATGTAACCTAGGTACTGCAGCGACACACGACACGATATCTGCCTTGTTCAGCGTGGAAGACCAAGCCCACCGTTTGCGACGAAATAGAGAAATCGCGTAATCTCAGACCAAGATACATTCAATGCGCTGGTCATTCGCGGATGGAGCAAGCGCAAGCATCAGCTTCGGATCAGGTTCGTCTATGATGGAAGATCGCGGGAAGGTACCCCGACAGGCTCGACACCTTTGAGTCCCGTCGCTCAGAGAACGTCAAAGAAAGGAGGACCGGCATGGGGTAATCGATCAGATTATCCGCCAACAAAAGTTGGGGAATCCTTTTCGTGCATCCAGCAAATAGAATCGGTCGGTGAGCGTCGGTATACGGCCAAGTGGGTTTTGCGTATTCGTCAAGTTGGATATACAACATACATTTTAGACTCGTTTTCCGCCTGAGCCAAGAGTGTTGGGGCAAGCTCTTTGTCGTCGCATTGGTGGGAGGCTACAGAGTCATTCGATGCCGTCGCTTGCTGTATGCAGTAGCCACAAAGGCACACTGCGAGTCATCGTTTTCTCGCGTTTGCGGATCGGCCATCTCGGCCCGAGCTCCCCAAACTTTGCGGAGTCTGCACCTTCTTCTCTTGCGCGCCCAAGAGGCTGTCAGCGCCGTTTGGTGCAATCCCTCCATGCATAGGACCAGAAGAAAGAGCAAATTTGATAAAACCGCAAGCCCGCGACGTCCATGAAACCGCAATAAGACACCAAAAGTTTTCATTCTGATTTGAAACGGCGAAACGTCGATGGGCGCGCTCTTGCCGCCGCTGACGGTACCCGAGAAGAAAGCTCGCGACAAGCAGCGCAAGCGTGACCAGGCGAAGCGCCGAAAAGCCATCGAGCTGGAGGTCGTGCGTGCAGCCGAATCGCGAGCCAAGCAAGCCGACGCCTCGAAGCGCTGGCACCGCGACGTCAACCGCGACGAAGGTAGCGACCTGCTGTCCGCCGTTCTCGCTCCATGCGCATGCTAGAGCTGCAAATCCGCCGGTACGAGCTCGATGCGATCAACCCCCACGACGAGCACCCGGCGAGCGCCGGTACGGCACCGTCTCTAGGCAGCTCGTACCATCATCGGGAATAGGGTACGACTTTGTTCCGCGACGCTTTACCTCTCTTGCCCAGGACGTGGGCAACTACTCGCCTATCTTTTTCGGCTACTCGCTCGCGCGAGGCGGTCGCCAAGACGTCTTTGGCGCCCCCACGGGCTACGACGACCACTTGAAGCACAAACCGCACCCTGCGTTTCTCGGCTACGCCATGTCGCGCCATGCATCCGAGATCATTTCGCCAATCTTTCTCAATCTCGACTTTTGCAAGCGCAGAGTCGGAATCGAAGCGATCGAAGACGAGCTTTCTGCGCTGCAAAAGCAGTCGAACATCGACAAGCGTCAAGAGCGCGCCGAGTTGCAAGCTCTGTTGGACGCCCGCTTCGACACGCCCTCCGAGTGCCTCGTGTGCGAGTCGTCCCAGATTCCCGGGTGTCCCGGGTGCTGGGTCCCGTCGTCTGACTTTTTCGATCGCGCCTACCGCCGAAACAACCCTCTGGAGCATCCAGTACGTAAATCGACCTTATGAAATGTCTTATTTTCCAACGCTAGAGCGACGAAATAGCCGAAGACAAGACTCCTCACGGGTGGGCGCATTACTACGAAGCGCCGTCGCCGCGTCAAGAGGCCAAGGCGCGTGAGGACGAGTACATGGACGGGCTCCTCTTCGATGTGTGGGCGATTCGCAAGCACCGAGAAAAGTACGACGCGACCATTTCCACCCAACTTCACCGATCGCAATGCAGGGTCCAAACGTTCATTTCACTCGTCATCAAGAGCATTCCGGCGGGCAGCGTACGTTCCCCTTGTCTATGCGCACGCAACCGATATGCCCCAGGCCGTCCAACTGCGTATCGACCCGAGAGAGACGATCCAGTATCTCTATGACCAGTACCGCGCCAATGTTGACAGCGTCGACCGCCAACTCTATTTGCTTTTGCCCACCAGGTTGGGGATCACGTCTGCCCTTTAGTTGGTTGAACCAATGTCGCGTCGTAGTCAAGGGCTCTTCTACCTTGATGCGACGATCGAAGCGGGGTCCGAAGTCGCGCTGGGCGTCAATAACGGCACGCTCAGGCTGGAGGATTTCCAGTTGCGATATATTCGCACTGCCACTGGCCCGTACGTGCTCTTGTCTGTCGCGCTCTTGCACCGCGAGACGACACCCCTCATGCTCGCACACTATGTCAAGCACAACTTTACGGTGGACGGGCCGCTGAACCTGCAGCTCCGGTAGCATTTGCGACGACGAAGGAGTGGGAGCGTACTCTGCGTAGGTACTTTGCCAACCAAGTCCCAAAAGACGTCCAGAACGACGCGCTACAGGCCGCGATGACGCGCAAAGCAAGCCTTCTCGTCGCGTCGGCCACGGAAAATCAACTGATGAGCCGTCATTACGAGCAGCAAGCGCTCCAACTCAGCGTCAAGAAAGCATTTCACGAGCGTGTACCGAGCTGTTGAGTTTGACGTTGGGGTTTTGGACAAGACACGTAGATGGACAGCGCGATTGAGCTACATCGAAACAACAAGGCGCGGCCGCGGACGAAGAAGGAGATCCGCGCATGGGCCTACTACTCGTTTGCGATTGCGGAGCCCCGGTCCGACGCGCGCCTTCAAAAGCTCTGGCAATGCTACCACAAATTTGACGAACTCAAACTCACAAAACGTGGCAAGCTTCTCGACGTCCGTATCCTCTTGCATGCATGTGTCATTGCAGAGCGGTGTAGTCAGCCGCGTCCGACGACATGTGCGAGCTGCTCTCTTTGCATCGGACGGCCACGATTCAAACCTTCGACTTGCTCGTCGACAAGGCCCACCGCCCGGTGCTGCCACCGGTCGTTGCTGTCGGCCCCAAGTTTGGCGTGCCGATCGCGACACGGTACCGACGCCGTCGTAGCAATCTCGGACCCTGCGCCTGCACGTAGACTCGGCATCACCGCCAAGGAGGACCGCGAGTTTGGCTCGGAGCTCGACATCATCATTCCCGAAGAGAACGACGACGAGACCCTAGCGCCGGTGCGTCGCAAGCAGCACTTGACGCTGGATGCGATCCGGGCCGCGCAGCAACGACCGTTCAAGGACATGGAGTGGCGGGCGAGTGCCAAAGTCGACAAGTTTTACTCGGCGTCCGATCTGCTCATCTACCCGTTTGCGAGCATCCGCTGGGACTGCTTTGCCAAGGCATATGTGCTTGCGGTCGGTGACGTCGACCGCATGCGGCGCTTGCTCGACGGCTACAACAACTTGGCCAAAATCCTCCAAGACGAAATCATTCTCAAACCCTCGGCTATTGAGTCCTGGCTCCACGACCTCGGTGCGTTGACGTCGCAGCTGCCTCCGACGGGCGCGCTCCCGCAGGCGTGTCGCCGCCTCGAGACCAAGTCGTCGCTCTTGGCCGCGCGCGCCGAACGGCACCGGCGGGCACTCGAGCAGGCGCAAGACGCAGCACGACGGCGGATCACGGACGCAGACGATGCGCTGCCGCCCATGAGCGCCATGGAACGCCTCAAGTGGGAGTTCAAAAACAAGTATGGGATCCTGAGCCCGAACATGCGCAACATGAGCCCCGATATGGACAAGGTTCGGGCGACGCTCGGGTCCGCACTCGCCAAGACGGTGGCCGCCACGACGTACGTTGCCCAGCAAGCCAAAGACAACATGGAGATATTAAAGCTATAAGAACTGCATCCGCGGTTTCGAGGTTACGACAAATGCGACGACGACGACTCGAACGGCGAGTCTTTCTCGAGGAAGGCTTGGAGCAGGCTCGCGGCCGCGGTCGTCGTGCAAATCGACTCGATGCTCGTCAGATACGCATTGAGATCGTTGCACTTGGCCGACAAGTAGATGGGGTCGAGCTTGGCCCAGAGCCGCGTCGGTGGCAGCGGCGGCATTTGCTCGTGCGGAAACAACTCGCGGAGCTCGCGGTGGAGGTGCCGGAACGCGTTGTAGCGTCGAAGCACGGTCGTGACTTTGTCGCCAGACGAAATGCGAATCTCAAACGCCGCGTACGGACCCTTTTCATCCGAGACGACCACGTACGTCTGGACGCCGAGCCGGTGCTTCGTGTGCAGCTGCGTGTCGAGCGACACGACGAGCGCGCTCTTGTCGGCAATGTCGTCTTGGATCACCATGTGCGCGTTCTCGACAGTCGCCATGTGCGACCGCCAAAGCTCGTACACGGCTGTGTCCTTGAGCTTAAAGTCCATCGATGTGCCCGAGGGTGTCACGAGGCGGAAGAGACACCGCTTTGGGTAGCCAAAGACGGTCGACCGACCGAGCGGGAAGTGCACGAACGACACTAAATTCGGGCAGTTTTCGTAGCACGTGAGCGTCGCTTCGTGGAGCACAAACCAGCGGGTTGCGAAGCCCTGGCCTTCGTACCACGTCTTGGCCTTTTGCGTGCGCACGCCGAGAAGACTGGTCTTGGTCGCGCCAAAGTAGTCGACCGTCGTCTCCGTGGGAAGGTCCATACCAGCCGTGTCGACTGCATGCCTAGGACACTTCATGCTCAACAAGACAGTAGAATCGACAGCCGAGTTGATACCGAGACGAGGTGGCGTGCAAATGGTCGATCGCATGTTGGAGGGCATCGAGCCATTCGTCGCGGAGGTCGGTCGTCGGCGCTTTGAGCACTTGGATCGAGTTGAGTTTCGACGACGTCGAGCTCAGAAAGGACGTCGCGACGTCCTTGAACGAGTGCGACACTTTGGCGTCTTCAGGGACAAGGCGCAGCGTGAAGATGTCGTCGCCGTACTCGACCAGTGTCTTGGGCGTCAGGTGCAGCGTCCAGCGCTTCCGACACACAACGTGCTCGACCGTCTTCATGACGTACACGCGCTTGTGGTCGAGCAGGAGCGTCCGCGTGTGCCAGTAGCCCGTCGAGCGCTCGCGTACGTGGGCGGTCGTCACAAGTTGGACGGGCGAGTGCGGCGTGATGGGCACGACATTGCGCGGCTGGAGCGTCGGCAGCGGCTGCTGCGCACTCATGTAGCGGCGCAGCTTCTCGGCCACCTACCCACGCCCATTTAGAGACATCAATGTATATAAAAAACGACGCACGGGCCGACAGATTTGAAGCAGACACAAGAGCACAACGTCTTCGCTGTCCCAGTACGACGAGTGCGACCCGGCAGCGTACGCGAGCTCGATGACACCTTCGCGCTTGCGCCGGCGCATGACATAGTCGATGCGCGACTGGAACCCACAGGCCGGCGGCGTGATGCGCTCGAGCATTTCCTGCATCTTGGCAAACCCGAGGCCCTTGCACGATTGCGCCTACGATTCTTATCGCTAAGACAATGTTGTTTACGGATCCCTACGGCAATGAGTTGGACGGGCGGCTTTTCGTGCATGTCGGGATGGATGAGCGGCTCGACGCGGTAAGCGATCGGGTCGATCGGGTGGAAGATGTTGAAGTAGTGCTTGCAGTTGGGCATTTTGATGCCGGGCGTAAACTTGCCGTCTGTCAGATCCAAGTCGCCGCGCGAGAGAATCATGACGGGCACCGGCGACCTAGCGCGTTGAGGCTTAGGGGTCGGTTGTCGGGTAGGAAAAGACGTACCCGGCACCAAAGAAATTCTCGACGTCGAAGTCGAGGCCTTTGAACTTGACGCCGTTCTTGGCGACTTGGCCCGCGCTGTGCGTGAGAATGTCGTACGTGATGACCGACCCGAGCGAGTGCCCAAAGATCGACACCTTGCCGTTCCAGCCTACAAAGTCGGGTATGAAAAACGACACGCGGAAAATAGGTGTACCCGGGTGTTCTTGCTTGAAGATTTTGTACTTGGAGTTGAGCTGCTCCGTGACCGAGTCGACAATGATCTGGCCGTACTGCGGCGAGAGGTAGTAGAGCAGGTCCATGAACGTCTCCTTGTTGAACTGGCGAATGCTACATCGTATCATTGAAATCGTGTATTCGACGTCGCAACATACCCGGACGAGCCTTCGGGGCAAATAATGTCAAAGACCGCGTCGACGCCCGTGGGTTCGTGCAGCTCTTCATGCCACTCGATCGACTGCATCTCGAGCGCAATCGGGACCTCCCTACGTACATGCCCTGAGCGGTTGCGCGTCCGACGAGAGGCCTCGTACCTGAAGTGGGTCTCTTCAAGCGCGCGGAAGAGGTCTCGAAAAATGTAGTTGTCGCCCATCGTGCCGGGAGTCCCGTCCCAGTTTTTGCGCTCGCCCTCCTTGAAATCGCCGTGCTGGCCAATGCCGTGGATGATGAACATGAGGTGGTTCACCGTGCTGAGGTGCACCTACGTACCACAATCAAAGTTAGTTGAAAACGGGTCGCGACTAGAAAGGCCAGACCTGGGGCGGGAAGTAGTCGTCGGCTTCGGTGCCGCAGGACGACGCCATGGACGCCTTGCGCGGCGGCTTGTTGTGCTTCTTGGCTTCGTGCCGCTTTTGCTGGTGCCGCAGATGCAAGCACGCACTGTGGGCGCGAAGGAGGCTGAGGCGCTGCTCGTCGTTGGCCAAGAGCCGCGCAAAGTCCAAAATGAACTCGTCGACCATGTCGTCCGTCATGATCGTCTCGAGGTACGCGTAAAAGGCGAGCGCGGACTGCCGGTTTGTGCCAAACTCCATCGCTTGCTGCTTGAACTCGGCAAACTTGGTGGCGTCGGCCAGCGCAGCTTCCATGCGACTCACGACAAGCTCGTTCAAGTTGGCGGCCTCGACGCCGTAGACAGGCACGACGTCCGTGACCGCGTCCTCTTCCTCCGTCTCGTCGTCGCCATCGTCCTCTTCTTCTTCGCCTTCGTCGTCTTCTTCGCCTTCGTCGTCTTCTTCGGTCACCTCGTCCTCGTCCGACTCGCTGCTGAGGCTCGACTCGCCGACAGCGTCCGCTGGGTAGATGCCGGTTGTTGGCGACGAGGCCACGTCACTCGGCTCATCGTCGCTGGGCGAGCACGCGCCGTCGCTCTGCAGGCGCGCGACGAGACATTGCAGCGCGTGCTGCACGGCGAGGCTGCACTCGTCAAGCGCGTCCTTGGTGCTCGCGACGGCGTCGCGATGCAGCTGGACGCGGCCGCTTTCCGTGGCCTCGCCGGCGATGGTCTTGGCGTGGGCGACGGCGGCGGCTGCGCTCGCGGCCACCTCCTCCATGAGCGCGCGGAAGTCCTGCAGCGCCGGCGCGTCGACGGCCTCGGTCATCGTCGCGCGAAGTGATGACGAAGCCCCCTTTGGACTCGACGTAATCTCGCGTGGCGTCAACATTGGCGCTATTTTATTATCGCGTCCTCCATACACAACAACTTGCCACATTAAATTTGTGTAAAATAATTTGAGCCGTTTTTCGTCCGCCAATCACAACGTGCCACTCCAAGCGCCCCAGCGGCAGGACAAGTTGAAGTTGCGCTAGCCGCCGCCGCCGACCGCGCTGGCTGACCACGTAACCACATAGCAGTAGATAGGCAAAGGTCCTGCACATAGCCTTGAGGCGCTCGCGGCGTGGCCGTCCCAGCGCCCGTTGTTCTCTGCAACAAAGACAGGCGCGCCGCCCAATCGCAAGTCCTTGGGTCAGTACTTGCAGGTTGGACAAAAGTGAGAATCTCAAGATGGCACAAGTCGAATTCGAGTCGAATCGAGCGTTGCCGTTGGGGCCAGCTTGCGCTGTACTGATTAGGAGGATGGCGAGATGCTCATGCACGAGTGCAAGCTGGACGACGACCCACATTTTCTGAACCATGCACAGTCTCACAAATCCAGCGAATTCTCCGGCGACACATCCCAGCACGTCGATCAAAGTTGGCTCAGACGTTTGGCTCAGGAGCCCGACGGCCCTTCGTGCGTGGTGACTGTGTCCATGATGACGGGGATCACAGCGTTGCCATCAGGTTACGACACTGACAGCTCACGAGCGATCGGTCCAGTGCCACAGATGGCCGTCGCAGCCACGCCTCAGCTGATTTGACGGCTTCCATATTCCTGCAGTGCATGGCTTTTTCTTCGTCATGGTACGAAGCAGTAACGCGACGGTAGTGTAAAATCTGCTGCCACGATGACCAGTAGCCTCCACCTCATTCGGTACACTAAGCTCTGCGACTGGGCCGCGCTGCGCCGCGCGCTCGAGAAGGCGCTCCCCGAGCACCTCGAGGTCCGCGACGAGTACGGCATGCTGGCGCTGCACTGGGCCGCGACCGAGAAGAATATCCCTGTCGGTATGCTCGACGTGCTCCTGGATCTGTACCCAGACGGCGCCAAAGTCCTCTCGACGGCCGGGTACCTTCCGCTGCACTTGGCCATTATGGCTGGCGCGTCCATGGCGCGCGTTCAGCGCTACATCGCCGCGTACCCCCAGGGCATTACGACGGTCGCGCCGTCGGGGCACTCGGCCTTTGAGCTCTGGGAGACCAAGATTCGCCTCGACACACGCACGCTCAAGCGCGGCGAGGGCCTGCACAGCGCGCAGTCGGCGCTCGTGTGGGGCAAAGCCATGATCAGCGACCTCCTCAAAGTGACGCCGCAGAGTCCGTCCCTGCGGCGGCGGCGCGGCGACCTCTTGAGCCGCGCGGAGAGCGCCAGCGCACTCCCGATTACGCTGACCGACGACCCTGTCCGCGAGTGGGACTGGCTCGACGTCCAAAGACGTCTGACGCTGCACGGCCCCGAGGTTGCCCGCGAGCGCGACGACCGCGGACGACTGCTGCTCCACGGCGCGAGCCGCGCGCCCATCGAGATCTTTGACGCAATTTTGCGTGCCAACCCATTGGCGGTGCGGGCCAAGACGCGGTCGGGCTTGTTGCCGCTGCACATGGCGGTGCGCCAGCACGCGTCGCCACGCCGGCTTCAGCGGCTCCTTGACGCGTACCCTGGCAGTCTGTACGAAGAAACGTACAACGGCGATACACCACTCGAGTGGGCTGACCGCGTGCTCTTGGACCCAATGGCGTTGGACGTATTGCGAAAAGGCCAGCGCTCGCCACTGCACAAGCCATCGACCGACTAGCGATTCCTCACCTTGATGTGTTCTATGGCATTTGTATCAACCATCCTTCTCTTCTACGACTTCGACGAGCTGATGATGACGATGTTAAATGCAAACAAATATTGGTGCAACCTAGCACCTTCCACTCTTATTTGCGACCAAGTGCCACCTCGGTGCATGCTGATGACGACAGCGCAAGGGACGTAGGTACATCTCCTCTTGCAGTGACCCTTGGACATGCTCGCGGCTGGCGAATCACGTGGACGACCAAGGCGTCGTGCGCGTACGATCCGCACGGTCGCGCGCGTTACTACGCAACGAACCTCGTCGTATGTCGATGGCGGTTGACTCTGTCGGTTCGGTGGGACCCGCCATCTTGGCCTCCGAACTGCCTTCAAGTTGCTCCCAAGATCTCCACATTGGGACCGCGGCCAATCAGGTGCGCGCATTTGGCGATGGCAATCTTGGCAACAGAATTGGACTTGCCATGCACGACGCGATCCGCCTCGCCGAGGCGTCCGACTGGGACGGCCTCCGGCGCTTGGTGGCGAAAGCACCGGCGTCTGCCCACGCCTGCGACGGCTACGGCATGCTGCCCATCCACTGGGCGTCCACCGAGGCGAGCGTGCCGCTCGAGCTCCTCGAGACCCTTTTGACGGCCTTTCCGGACGGCGCCTCGACCGTCAACAGCGCCGGGCTGCTCCCGCTGCACATTGCCATTCGCGCCCACGCATCGCCGGCGTGGCTCCAAGCCCTTCTCTCGTCGCACCCCGAGAGCATTTGGGTCGAAACGCCGACGGGCGCGACGCCCATGGCGCTCGCCGAACACGTTGGCGCCGACGAGGCATGTCTCCACGTGCTACGCCTCGCACAGATTCGCTTGCACCAAGAAGACGCGCGGTCGACGGTCTCGAGCAGCCGGGGCTCCAACATATTACGGACGCCGCCCAAAGCCAAGACCCTCTTGCGTCACCTCTCGTTCGACTACAACACGAGCCTTCGCTCGTCGACAGCCCACACCGTGCGCCGCGTCACGTCCGTGCCCATCATGGGCAGCAAAAACGACAACAACATCGAGATCCTCGACGACGCGTCGGTCTCGAGCGACGAAGACGATGACGACCATTCGTTTCGAGGCAACAACTGCGCGGTGCTCCCGATGCTGGACGAGGAGCCGCCCGAGTGGCATCTGCATACGGCGTGCTCCGTGTGCCACGCCGCCTTTAGCATGTTCAAGCACCGCCACCACTGCCGCAATTGCGGCAAGTCCATCTGCCGCAACCACAGCGCCGACAAGAAGGTCCCCACCAAAGGCTTCCAGTCGCCGCAGCGCGTTTGTATCGCTTGCTACGGGTCGCTGACGAGCCGGAAGCACTCGTTCACGATGCTCGAGTCGCCCGCCGTGACGCCCAAGCGCACGCTGCTGCGCGTCCTGACCGAGCTCGCGTCGCCCAAGCCCAGCCCCGTGACGTCGCCGGTTGTGGCTGTAAAGTCGACCGACGCCGAGATCGTATCGCTAAAAGCGACGGTGCAGCAGCTCACCAAGCAAGTCGACAACCTCCATATTGCCAATATGGCGCTGCAGCAGCAGTTGCTCGAGCAAGAAGAGCTCAAGGCCGAGACGATGCTGCTCATTACGCAGGTCATGACACGCGTGTCTGTGCTCGAGCTGCAACGCGCCAAGCAGGCCAACGACGACGACTTTGATCTATAGCGACTGCATCCACCTACTAACATGGCTACCTTTCGAGTACGCACCGGCGAGTCGAGAGGCCATCGTGTTACATCTTACAAGAATCACGCGAGCAGGCGGCGTCTACCAAATGGCTTACTCGTCGAGCTTGGGGCGCTCGCCGATCTCTTCCTTGACGTACGTGACCGACGCGTGGTGGCCAGCGTGGCTGTTGCCGCTGCCCGTGACCGCGCCGATGGCGAGGTAGGCGCTGAAGATACCGACGGCAATGACAAAGCCCGGAAGCGGCTTCTTGGTGCAGTTGGAGAGGAACGGGTGCTTCCGCCACGCGTCTTGGTGAGCTAAGACCATCGTCAAGTGCGAACCGCTTGTTGGAGTATTCCGCAACCACTCGCCCAAAGTGACTGGAAAACCGCACTTAACATTCCACCTACAAATTGCATGATGCTTCGGTAGGTGCGATACATTGCAAATAGTATGTTGCGGTAAAAGGTGTTAAATAGTGTGTTTGCGTTGACCACATGCCAGCGCGTTGCCCATGCAGCTAGAGTAGCCGACACGTGGGCTTTGCTATGTGGGGCACATAAATTGCATTGCATTGGTGCTGGTGGCGCAGTTGGCCGATCGTCCAGGTGCGGACGGTGCCATTGACGGCAACGGCAACAAGTACTAATAGCGTTTCTAACTTTGAACCAGAGCTCCATTGCTCGCTGGCCGTCGCCGCTACAGGGATACGTGTCGTACGCCCTTGGCTTGCTGAAACGTGAATGCAAGGGCGTTGATATGGCCAGGCCCTCATGGCCATGATGAGTTCCCGACGAGAATGGATCCGCGGACCGGAAATGGTGTTTGACTTGGCAAGTCTTCGCCAAAGTTCGATGACACTAAATACGGCTCATGGGCCAATAGTGTGGGTAGATTTGCTATCCGTTTGTGCACGTCAACACTCTGGAAGATGTTGGACCAGCTCACTTGCGCCAGGAAGTCGCTCTGTCGCTGGGCCGGCAACCACAAGACGCTGCTCGTCAGCACGGGCGTCGTCGTTGCCTGCGGCGCGGGGGCCTACTACGGCGTCAAGCGCGTGATCCGCGAGGCCGAGACCATGATGCTCGACTCGCAACGCGAGCTCGTGGCTCACCAGCGCCTGCAGATGCACCTTGGCCGGTCCCAAGAAGAGATCAAGGCGGCCTTCCTGCGCTTCGTGCCATCGCTAAAGACGCGTCTCTACAAGCTCTTGGACCTCGAAGGTATCGTCGCCAACCTCAAGGTGCTCGACAAGTCGGAGCGCGAGATGCGCGACTCGATGTGGGAAGACGCCAAGCTCCTAGGTACAGCATCATGCTTCGAGACTCTCGACCCACGACTGCGCTAGGTTTTGGCCGTCTCTTTGCCGGCCTCCACGCCTTTTGCCAGCTGCACCTGCTTGTGCACTGCGAACTGCTCATCCTCGGCCGCGAGACCTTTCACAAGCACAAGGGCGAGGTGACGATGGCCATGGCGATTCCATCCTCTCACAATACGTAGGACGACACGAGCGGCGCGTCCGTTGATGTGCAGCAGCAGTTCCTCTCGTCGACCCTCGAGTACTTTTTCGAAACGGGGTTGCCCAAGCTCACGGCCGAGATCGAGTCGCGTCTCGGCAACCATCCGACGCTACAGACGTACAGCAAAATCGCTCTCTTCGACGCTCCTCACCACTACTCTATCTCGCAGGTGGCGTGTCAAGGAGAAGGCCCAAGTCGACAAGGCGGACCTCGACCACTTGCTTCGGGAGCTGCATGCCACGTGCCTTCCGAGCTCGGCCAACGACCACGTGCTCTGGCACTCGTTCCTCATCTGTACGCGTCCACTGCATTCGATCGCCGTCGTGTGACGTATGCATGGTAGACCCGGACGATGTGCCGGAGGCCCACCCCGCAGGCGTGCTCCCGCTCTTGAACGAGCTATGGGACATTCTGGAGACTCCTTTCTTCAAGGATGCATTGCGGGCGTCCATCGACTGTCTCTTCGAGCTCCTTGCCACTGACATCGTCGCGGCGCTCTACCCGCACGAGGCGGGGCCTATCACGGAGATGAGCGCGATCCAGCGGCCGCCGCTTGCCAAGGTCATTCCGCAGCTCAAGGTTGAAGTCGGCCGCCTCTATGTGGCGACAGCCAAGCAATCGACACTGCTTCAGCACTGGGAGACGCTCTCGGGCCTCGAGACGCTCCAGTGCCTCAGCGAGTCCATTTTTGTGCAGGAGGCTGACGATGCGGCGTCACGCCCCGAGTCCTCGTGGTACCGTTCGCATAGCATCGTTTCTTTTCTCATGCAAAGCGAACTAGGGGCTGGATCTAAGCGAACACGATTTGTATCAACTTGATAGTTTACTGCATCAAGCTCAGCCGGTACATTTGCGTCTGGAGCTCGACTTGGCTCAAGAGGTCCGCGACCTCGCCGCTCGACGTGTGCGACGCGAGGCGCTTGATCAGCGAGTCCCACGCTGTCGCCTTTGTCGAGACAAACGCGGCGAGCGTCTTCTTGAAAAAGCTGGCTTCGACATGGAGCTGCGTGCGCTGCCACTGGGCCTCGTCGCTGGATGCGCAACGGGTGGCGTCCTCGGCGCGGCCCGCGAGAAAGTGCTGGAGCGTGTCGGCGCACTGGGAGAGGAGACTGTGCACGTGGCGCTCCGTGTCCGAGCGGATGCAGAATTCGACGTGACTGCGCCACGACACGAGGTAATAGAGCACTGAGAAGACGTACGGGCGCACTTCGGTGCGACTCCCGGGTACATAAAAGCTCTCTTCGTCGTCGAGGGTCGCACACAGTAGCGCGACCCGGCTGTCGTGGAAGCGCTTGCCACACTCGAGGATCGTACTCGATAGCGAGAGGCTGCGGACGTCGACCTTGGTGTCCTGCAGTGCGTTCAGAAACGCAAGAAACCCAGCGCGACGCGGCACCGCAAGGCAGTTGGCGACGACCACGAGGCTCGCGAGCGACGTTGGCGCGTCATCGACCAAGACATCCGCGCTCAGAAGCGTCCCAAAGAGCGACAGCAGCGTCTGTCCGTGGGCGACGACGCTTTGCAGCAGCGTGGCACAGAACGCAGCGTGCATCGCGTCATCAAGCGCGAGGTTGGTTTCAAGCGCTTGCGTCAGCACGGGCTGCAGCGTGCACCACCACTCGAAGAGCTACGACACCACACAAGATGGCACCTCCGACTTTCGTATCGACGCGTTCTACCGTGTTGTCAAACACACCGGCGGCGGCTTCCAGTACGTCGGGGCGGTCGTTCTGCGCTGCATATTGTATCGAGTCGTGCAATGCCGCTGCCGCGGCCGCCCACGCCGCGCCATGCATCTCGACAGACGTGCTCCAGCGCGACTCGGCGGCGTGCGTCACTGCGGTAAAGAAGGCGAGAAGGACGTCCGAGCGGACTTGGCCGCAGAACGCAGCCTTGAGCGCGTCGAGCTTGGCAGTAAGGACCGAGTCGGGGCACGGCCCAAGACTGTCGAGGTCCAAAGAGATTGTGTGCAAGGAGGCCACCATCTCGGCCGAGACGTTGGTCGTGTAGAGCGTTTGCTCGCGCAAGTGCCGCACACACGTCGCGAGGACGTCGGCCGCCGACGTGTGCAGTGCTTCTTGCTCGGTGGCGCACAGGGTCGAGAGGGCCATCGTGTCGCAGAGAATGGGCCAGAGACCTCGCTCGAAGCGACGCAAGAGGCGCCCGCAGTCGGCGATGATCTCGGCGCTCGAGCGGGCGACGACGGCGGCGGGCGCCGACCGCGTGTCCTTGGGCTTGATACTGCGCGTTTTCGAGTCGATGGGTACCACGGGGCCGCTGAGACTGGTGAGGATGCGCTCCATGTCAGCAAGCTGCGTCTTGACGCATAAGAGACTGGGTTTGGGCGTGATCCCGAAGGCGTCGACGACGTAAATCGCTTGTTTCTAGAGTGCAAGTTGTCGTATGCTTGGGCACGAAAGTGCACAACGTACTTGGTCGGCGTAGACAGCGTCCGGGTCGCGAAGGACGTGGAGAAGCTCGTCGTTGGCCGTCGTCGCCGTCTTGGTCGCAGATTCGAGGACAGGCTTGAGAAGCGACATGTTGGCTTTTCCAGCATGCGCCTTCAAGTGGACGTAATCTTCGACAAGCTATGAGACCCGCATGAGAATAAGAGAGAGAGGAAGGTTGTGCCTTGACGTAGTCCTTCTTGGCCAAACTCGCACGCATGCGAGCAGGGATCTCAAAGAACGACCGATACCGAGCGAGGACGGCGAGCGCGTGGCGCGTCTTGCGCTGCTCTTCGCAGCGTTGCAGCATCAACGAGAGCGTTTTGTCGGCAGTTGATTTGAGGCTTCGAAATGCAGTCGTGAGGCGCTCGCTGTCGGACTCGTGGGCTCGAATCTCATCGGAGACCTGCAAGGCAAGGTCGAGCCGGAGCAGGCGATGCGCATTCTACCTCGCGAATCGCTTCGTGGCAGGAAAGGTATTGGTCGAAATGCGAAGCCACGAGAGCTTTGAGTTGCTCAGTCTTGTCAGAAGTGGACCGCTTGAGCGTCTCGAGCTCGGCGACGAGACCCGCATACTTGGTATCCTACGCACAGGCGTCGCGAAGGCGTCACGACGCTGCGCGTACCGCGTGCTTGGCAGCCAAGTAGGCGGTTGCATTGAATTCGACCGAGTTCATATCGAGCTTCGGGTCGATGGTCTCCTTGAGGAAGTCATCGTCGTCGGAAGGTAGCATTGGTCGGTCGCGTGCGGCAGCCAAAGATTTTGATGAAACTGCCCGATCTGCACTTTGATTGGTCATTATTGTATATTTCAACCAATCCCGTGCTCGCAATCTTTGGCCCCGTTCAAGCATGTTTAGCCTTGGCAAGGACCTTCACGGCCGAGAGAGCATTCGCACCTCGTCCCTGTCGTGGACCGTGTTCGACGATGTCGTGCCAGTGCTGGAGGGCGCTGTGCATCTTGACTCTCACCGCTTCATTGACGGTGATTGGCTGTTATCAGCATTTCGAGCTCGCTGATTGGTGCCAGTGGCTCTTTTTAACCAATCGTGCGCCATACAGCTCTTCACAAGAAATTTCCATCGTGGTATACAAAATCCAAGTCGTCCCGAGATTGTGGCAGCCACTTGTTTGGTCAATCCATTGGCGAATTACGGCAACAATGGACCACGAGAAGCTCGCCGCGGAGAAGCAACTGCTCGCGTACCTGCATGCGCACACGACCGTCGCGGATACCTACCCGTACGCGCTGTCGCTCGGCCTCGACCACGCCCTTGTCGTCGGCGTCGTCAAGAGTCTCCTCGTCGACGCCTTTGTGACGGCGTCCGAAGTCTCGACCTCGTTCTACGTCCTGAGCGAGGAGGCGCTTGCCATCATGCAGAACGGGTCGCCGGAATTCCAGGTCTTCAGCGCCATTGATGCCGATGGCATCAGCAAGGCGGACCTCGAGGCCATCGTTGGCGCGGCCACGTTCAAGGTTGGCCAAGGTGCCTGCATGAAGAACAAGTGGATCCGCATGGACAAGGCCACGGGCATGATCTACCGCAACGTACGTCAATGCATTCTGTGAGGCATCTGGCTCATGCACACGGCGTAGGTGGAAAGCGTCACGGACGACGTTGTGACGCTCTTGAAGAACGTCGAGGCCGTCAGCGGCGACGTCGCGCGCGTCGCCAAGGCGGACGCCGACAACCTCAAGCGCCGCAAGCTCCTCACCCTCCAGTACGACGCTTGCGCTCTCTAGATCATAGGCTCACGCACGCGTCATAGGGTTCGCAAGTCGTGGACCGTCGGCAAGGGCCCCAACTTTGCTCTCGAGCGCAAGCGCCAGGCGGCCGGCCTCAACAAGGACATGCTCGACAGGTACAGACAATGCCGATAGCTTGTACATCGTCTCATGCAACACGCGTAGCGAGGCGTGGAAGACGGAGACGTTCAAGCCGTACAACTTCAACACGATGGGCATGTCCGTCGGCGGTGGCCACCTGCACCCGCTCATGAAGGTCCGCGCCGAGTTCCGCCGCGTCCTCATGGACATGGGGTACGCTTCTAACTCCATGCGCCTCCGTACTCATGACCTCGGTAGCTTCCAGGAGATGCCGACGAGCCGCTTTGTCGAAAGCAGCTTTTGGAACTTTGACTCGCTCTTCCAGCCGCAGTCGCACCCTGCGCGCGACGCCCACGACACGTTCTTCCTCACGACGCCCGCGAGCGCCAACTCGGTGCCCGAAGACTACTACGAGCGCGTCCGCGACATGCACGAGAACGGCGGGCACGGCTCGATCGGGTTTGCCTCACTATCCCGCCTTGGTGTATCTCACCGAGTGCTAGTCATGGCCGCGGTGCGTTCACCCGCGAAGAGTCCTTCAAGAACATCCTGCGCACGCACACGACGGCCATTTCGGCGCAGATGCTCTACAAGCTCGCCAACGTACGCTCCTCGTTTGACTTGAAACATTCTTGATATTTTTGGCTGTAGCAACCGGGTGGCTTCAAGCCGCAAAAGTACTTTTCGATCGACCGCGTCTTCCGCAACGAAAGCATGGACGCGACGCACTTGGCCGAGTTCCACCAGGTCGAGGGTGTGGTCGCCGACTACGACCTCTCGCTCGGCGACCTCATTGGCGTCATCAGCAGCTTCTTCAAGAAGATTGGCATCACGCAGATGCGCTTCAAGCCCGCGTACAACCCGTACACGGAGCCGAGCATGGAGATCTTTGCGTACCACCCGGACCTGAAGCGCTGGACCGAAATCGGCAACTCGGGCGTCTTCCGCCCCGAGATGCTGCGGCCGATGGGCCTCCCCGAGAACGTCCGCGTCATCGCATGGGGTCTCTCGCTCGAGCGCCCGACGATGATCAAGTACCGCCTCAACAACATCCGCGACCTCTTTGGCCACAAGGTCGACCTCGAGCAGACGCGGTCCGCCAAGCTCTTCCGCGTCGACGAGCCGACGGAGGACGAAGCGTAAGACGACGCCACTTGCGGGCACGTAATCTCGATCCAAGTGCTTTAGTTTTCTGCAGTTAGTTAGTTAGTCGCACCCCGAGAGCGCAGCACCGACGCGCCGGAATACGTCTTTGGGCACGCCACAGGCGCAGCCGGGCACACCGCATACGAACGCGATCTCCTCGCACGTGGGTGCCGGCAGGTCGGGCAGCGTTGTCTGGCTAGATTGGCGTCGGGGTGGGGGCGGCTAGCACCATACGCGACGAGGTGGCGCATCAAAGTCGTCGTACCTGGATATGATGGTGGTGGCGGCGACGCAGCGCGTGCAGCGTCACCTTGCGGTCTTCGATGGTCTGGCGCAGCGTCGCTATCTCGCTCTGGACGACGGTGCAGCGAGCTTGTGCGGCGCGCGCGTCGCGGAGCTCGGCTTCGAGGTCGTCGAGCTCGGCTTGCAGGAGCGCGGTTGCATTCCGCTCAATGCCGAGGCACGTTGTTGTCGTCGTCTGCACTTGGCGCGCCTTGGCCGTTCGTTTGTACCGGATCGCGTCGCGGTCGCGCACGAGGCGCTGGCGGTCGAGGACGGCGTCCAGCCGCGCATGAAGCGCCGGGTCGGCGGGGCCTTTGGCGCGGAGACCTGTGCACACGGTCCTTGCACTTGCCTCTAAGGCGGCGTACGCTTGACGCCAGCTCTCGTACGCCAAGCCGCGTGCAGCGATCGCCGTCAGCACGCTGTCGTGACACACGCGCTGCGCCCAGAGGCCGAGCGCCTGCTGGCATCGGCGCAACCGGTTCGTCTCGAGGACGCGCCCGACAATGTAGAGCCCTAGCAGTGGCTGCTCGAGAGGGCGGCGCACGCCGAGGTCGGGTGGCGGCGTCGGCGCGTCGGGCGCCCGCAATAGCTGCATCGCGCGCTGCTCGACGTACCAGCCGTAGCCCGTCGCGTTCACGTCTGGGTCGAGCGCCGTCGTGAGTTGACCGAGGCCCTCTGGGCGCCCCTCGACCCAGTGCCCCGCAAACAGGTTGCCATTCGCAAACGACCCGATGCCGTAGCCCATCGGCGTGCCGTCGCCGTCGACTTGGCCTTCGTACACGACTTCCGGGCACGTCACCACGCCAAAACTGTGGCTGCCATCGCAGTCGAGCGCGATCATGGACCGTCCGTCCGAGGACGCGACGACGCCGCAGCGACCGGCGGGCGACAGCGCGCCTTGAAACGTGCGTCCGTCGGGCGCGGTCTCGTGGAGGTAGCGCAACACGCTTCCTCGCGTTTCGCGCACGCCAATGCGGTATGCACTGTACTGGGCATGAATCGCGCTCGCCGTGGCAGGGCGGGGCCGTCGCCGCCATGCGCGCGTCTCGTCCGTGGTCCTGCTACCGTCGTCCATGTAACTGGCCAACGTAACGTGCATCAAATCTTGGTCTTCCGCCGATTCAATATGCTGCTGCGCATCCGCGCCGACGGTGGGCGCAAGCTTGCCAAGAAGACGGGCATGGCCGCGATGGTCGACGCAAAGCCCGACCCCTACCTGATCGTGCGCATCGACGGCAAGAGCACGGTATTCCCGGTCGTCGACGATGTGGACGCGGCCGAGTTTACATGGGGCGCCGACGCCGTCCGCGATCTTCCGTGGCCAGCGACGGCCACCGAGATGGAGATCCACGTCAAAGACAAGGATCTCATCTCGGACCACCATATTGGCGCCGCCAAGGTTCCCTTGGGGCCGATCCGCGACGCGCTCTCAGCTCCAAGCGCCAAGATCTCGCGCAACATCGACCTCGACTTTGCCGACGAGAAGCTCAAGACCAAAAAGTTCTCGGGGCAAATCACACTGACGTTCGAACGCATTGAACCGACGCCAGCACTGACCACAGCCGCAGCTGCCGCTACCGTTCCCGACGCCAAACGCGACACAAAGGAATCGGCGCCAGAGGCGAAGCCAGCACCACCCGAGGCGACGCCCGCGGTAGCCAACACAACACCGACACCTCCCGAGGCAAAGCCTGTCGCGGCCGACGTCCAACCCACAGCGCCGAACGCTGCTACCTCGGTGGCATCCACAGCGGCGATCTCAGCTGCCTCTGGCGCTGCTGCCTCCGAGACCCCCATAGCGACTGTCGCTCCGTTGACAGAGGCCAAAACGACAGTGGCAGCAGAGGGCTTGGCGCCTCTTCAGCCGTCCAAAGCATTGAGCCAGAAAGGAAGTTTGAAAAAGGCGGCGTCCAAGATCAACGCGCTAGCGCCTCTCTCAACACAGCCAAGCGCCAAGACCATGGCACCCGCGACAGCTGCTCCCGTCGACGCACCACCGTCATTGCCTTCCGAGAAGGTGTCGCTTGCGGCAGAAACCATAGCGTCCGGTCACCACCTCGTGCGCGTCCAGGCTGTCGGCGGTCGCAACCTCGCGCCCAAGTCGCGTCTCGAGCGTTTGGTGGACCAGTACCCGGACCCGTACATCACACTGGTCGTGGGCAGCGACACGCGCGTATACCCCGTCGTCGACGACGTCAAAACGACCGAGTTTACGTGGGGCGCGGACGCAGTGCACGAGTTTGAGATCCCACTTGGTACGAAGAGCCTCTCCGTCGCGCTGCACGTCAAGGACAAGGACCTCGTGCTCGACCATTACATTGGCGGCACGACCTTCACGCTTGACATGGACACGCTACTCGCTGCGAAAGCGCTCCCGGACCTCGTCTACACCCTCGAGTACGACAACCCCGCGTTCAAAACCAAATCGAAAACCACCCGTGGCGAGATTCTCCTCTCCTTCTTCCTCGTCACGGCCGTCCAGGCTACTGCCACTCCGGCGCCACTGCCCGCCGTGGGCTCGCCGCAGACGCCCGCCGTGGGCTCGCCGCAGACGCCCGCACCGGCGGATGCGCCGGCAGAGACATCCGCCAAGACACTTATCGAGACGCCTTCCGAGACGGTGGTGCATCGCCGCGCAAGCGTCGAGAGCCGCCTCTACAAAGGGTCGCTGCAAGTGATCGCTCATAGCGCAGACGGCATTCCGATCCCGCCGCGCAAGATGCTGAGTCTCGACCGCCTCGCCGACCCGTACGTGCTCTTGAAGCTTGGGGCGGCGTCGGCCGAGCTGCCGCAGGCCAAGGACGGACACGACAAGCCCAAGTGGCACAACGCGCTGCACCTCTTCGAGCACTTTGACTCGAGTCTTGTGCCGTGGATGGACGTGCTTATCTACGACAAGAACTTGGTGTTTCAGGACAGCTACCTCGCGGGCGCGCGCTTGTTGCTCGCCGATGTCCTCGCCAACGTGACGCCCGAGCTGCCGTGTGTACTGACGCTGCCGCTAAACCTCGACAAATTGCTGCAGCCGACCGAGAAGGCGCTCGGCACAATCACGCTTTCGCTGCTCTTCACGCCCGACGACGCCAACCACATCAACTGTACTCCCGTCTTGTAGTATCGGCGCGTCATAAGGCTGCGTAGGGACGGGTCCGTCGGTCGGGTGCATTGGCTTTTCCAACTTTGCGCTCAGCGTGACCGGCGACCTCGTGTCATCAACTATGGAGCTCGTGCTCGACATTAGCATTCGCCGACACGTGCTGGCGACGGAAGGGTTTGTGACGCAGTCGACGGACCCAGTCGCCGGCGCCGACGCCGTCGCATGGCCGACGACCGCGCTAGTTGTACCGTACGGCCTCTACCTCCACGACGGTATTACCAAAGACAAGTGTCCCGTGGTGCTCTTCGCGGTGCGCGACCGGTCGGCGATCCTTCACGACAAGCCGATCGCGCTCGGGCACGTCCCGTTGCTCGATGTGCTGGGGCTTCACACGACCAAGCACGTCGTGCTCCTGAGCCAAAATAGCATGCGGTCCGGCCGCGCGACGCTCAGTGTCGCGGTCGCCCCCGCCAAGTCCCCACGTGGCACCAGTGCGCTCATCAATTGATCGTTCTGGCGACCTCATACATGGTGTAGGTGCCGATTTTGCGGCGACGCCCGGGCGGCTGCGCGTCATCTTGCTCGGTGCGACGCTAACGCCGAGCAAACGGCAGGGACCATACGAGGTCCGAGCTGCTATACGCAGAGTTGTCGTCTGAAGCTGTTGGATAGAAAGTACGCCTCACGCTAACAGCCCCGGCAACGACCGGCGCCGTCAGCTCGGTGCAAACCGACACGGTGGATCCGACGGCCCACGGTGCGCTGGTCGTGCTCAACAGCGTGCTCGAGCTGCAGTACCTCGCGTCGCACGTTGCCAACGCGGCCGAGTTTGCGCCGACGTTATCGCTCTTCACGCACAGCAGCAAGCTGCTGTGCTCCCTGCCGCTTCCGGTGCTCTCACTGCTCCAGCAACACGAACATGGAGAATTTACGCTCGAGCTCCAACACGGTAGGACGACACGAAGCGACTTGTTGCTTGAGCAAGCGTAGAGGCGTCGACCGTGTGCGTCCTATCGATGGCGCTGACGGTCGAGCCGAGCACGTTGCCACCAGAGACGATCGCTGCCGTCGCATCGGCCGTCGACTTTGGCCCGGGCTATCTCCATATTGTGGTGCTTCAGGCCGAAGCGGTCGTTCTGGAAGGCGGCACCTCGATCACCGACCTTGAGCCTGAAGTACGTTGTGCGAGCGGCTGCGATACTTGAGCGCCTCCACCACCTACAACCATTAGGTCCGCGTGAGCATCAAGCCGCGGTACACCAAAGACAAGCGGGTGACGTCAAGTGCCAAGACGCGGCCGCTTGAAGTCGTCGCACCCAACCCTTCATGGCACGAGTACCTCAAACTCGAGTTCATTCCGTCCGACGACATCGCGACGCTGCACGTCCCGCCCACCGTGACGCTGTCTCTCAACGAAATCAAGCCGGTGGGAACGATGCCTCTGTGCGCTATCTTCTGACGTCCTTGTAGCCGGGCGAAGACAGCGTTATGCATGTACTGGGGGCCGCCGACCTCCCGCTCGCAGCGTTCTTGCCGGCGACGGCCAACGCCGAGCCGTTTGCGACCAAAGTCGACTTGCTACGAGGCAACAAGTCGGTCGGCAGCCTCTACATTGTGGGTATCTTCGAGTCGCTTACCGCGCCCGAGGAGACACGCAAGGCAGTGCACGCGCACGCCCGCCGGCTTCGGACAACCACCCTCTCGATCGAAGGTGTCTCGTCGAGCGACGGGCGACCTGGGCGCTTCGAAGTCCATTTGCTGCACGCCACGGGCCTCTGTCACCCGCCCCACGAGCCAATTGCATGCGACGTCTGCGTCGCGTCGGCGTCCGATGAGAGCGTGCGCGTCGAGTCGCAGCCTGACGAGAGCAGCGCCGGCGAGCTCACTTGGGACCGTCAACTGACGCTCTTTACGCGATCAGCAACGTCCGACTACCTCCGTCTCGACTTTTTCGTTCGGTATTTGCAGTCAGATAGACCCTCTGGCGTAATGGACGAGCTAGGTCCATTATGGTGGGCTATCTCAAGATCCCGATCGCTACGTACAGTCAGGTGCCCCGCAAAGCGCATCGCGAGCTCCACGATATCGTGCTCAAGACCAAGGACAAGGACGCGCGTACCAAGCCCCAGGTACCGTTCACCAAGCGCACCTTGAGCCCATTCGGACGCCTTAGGCGCTATTGGAGCTCGCCTTTTTTCCCGACGAAGCGCTTCCGATGTTTGCGCCGACGGCGACCCGCAGTAGCGAAACCGGTCGCCTCCTCCTCAAGCTGGACGCGCTCGAGCCCGTCGCCGTGGACGTCTTGGAGAAGAAGCTCGCTTTGCGCTGCACGCTGTTGTACGCCACGGACGCCAGTGTCATGAGTGCGTTTCGCGTCGGGTCCAAGACCAAAGTAGCGTACGGCGACGTTCTGGAGCTGGCTGTACCCAACAAGTATACGCAGCACACGTCGTCGCTCGGCACTTGTCCGCAGCTGCGCCTCGAGCTCGTCAACGGCAGTTCGGGTATCTCGCCCTATCGCCTGGACAACGTCCTTCACGCGCATCTTGCGTAGCGTTCGGGAAGGAGGCCGTGTCGAGCGACGACGTTGCGATTCAAAGCCTTCTCTTCCACCCGCACATGGTGCTCACGAAGCGACTGCCGCTGTCCACGCTCGGCGCAACACCCTCTTGTGTTGGCTACGCACGCGTCCAGTTGGTCTACATACCATGTCTGTACTGCCGTCCGGTCCACTCGCCTTACATCGTGCGGCTTTGTAGCGGATGCACCGCCAAAAGCCAAAGCCATCGAGTACTTTGCCGTTCCCGACGACGATGAGAGCGCGAGCCGCGTGCTTCTGCCGCAGCGCGGTGTGCTCTCGGTGCGCGCGATCGCCGGCCGCAACCTCGTACCCTAACCTCACCACACAGCCAACTAACGTTTGGCGTAGGAAGAAGTCGATGTCCTTGGAGAGCAGGACCCGTACATCCAACTGCGCACGCTACCGCGGACGTATGCGTCGACAACGCCGGCGTTTGCCCAGAGCGCCGTGTGCTTGAACAGCGGCCGCCACCCCGTGTGGAACTCGCCCGTGTTTCCGCTGCTGGTCGACGACGTACAGACGACACTTCTCTCGATCGACGTGCTCGACTCGGGCGAAGAAGACCACGTCCCGGACGCGCTAATTGGCAGTTCGAGCGTCAGTCTCGCCGCGCTCTTGGCGGTTCGCGACGCCGACGCCGACGCGTCACGCTGGAGCGAACGCTGGTTCCCGATCGTGGGTCGTGGCACCGACGCTGGCACCGTGCGCCTCGAGTACCGATTCATACCGGACGACGACGCGCGGCTGCAAAGCGAGCCGCCGACGCCGTACACCAACTGCGTCGGGGGAGGTGGCACACTCCACGTGCGCCTCCTCCGCGCACGCCATCTTCCGTGCACGTCTGGCATGGTGCGCATCTTCTCTTGTACTTCGTCTAACATCGCTGTAGACACCTGCCCTGCGCGCGGTCGTGGATGCGTCGCCAGGGTTTTGCCACGTCACGCGCGCTGAATCGAAACATATTCGACACCCCGTCTTTGACGAAGCGACGTCGTGTGCGCTGCGCTGGACCGCCGACCGCAGCGAGAGCGTTCTCTTGCAGCTGCACATTGTCGACGTTGTACGTCCTTTGGTCGCTTGGCGTTCAGAGGGTTAGGGTTGTCGGTAGAGTGCGCACGTGGCCAGTGCGAGCTTGCCGATTCTGGCGCAAACGACGCTCCATCTCGCCCCGTTTGTGATTCATCCGGGCGAGGTGCACCAGGCGTGGCATCAACTTCGGTCGTTTGCCTTGTCCAATGACGCGAGCGAGGGTCCGTCAGTCGAAGTCGCCTTGCAGTTTATACCCTTGTCCGACACGACGTCCACGCCGTTCGCCGAGCCCGTGCCCGAGGCGGTGTCGGGTTTGTGATCGACCTCTCGCGCCAGTCAAGTGATGGCTTGCATGCGTAGGACAAGTGCACGTCAAGATCCTCGAAGCAGCGTTCCGGTCGGCCGCGGTCGACACGCCGAGCGTGCGCGTCGAGCTGCGCACGGGCAGCAAAGTACAAGCAAAGAGCACGGCGCCGTATATATCGCCGGCCGACGAGTATGCGCGCAGTGTCTGGAACGAGTCGGTGCTCTTCGACTGCGAAACAGTCGCCGAATCGGGCTTGCCGACGCTGCGCTTTCGCGTCGCTAACGCTGCCACGTCATTTGGCGAACTCGAGCTGCCGCTCTTCCCGTTTGTGTTGGCCAAAGGCCACCTCTGCAGCGCATGGTACCCGTTGTACCTCCAGCACCAGCTCACGGCGCAGGTACGCTTTATTCGACGTGCATATGCGCCGACAACAAACCGTTGGTCGTAGCTCAAGGTCGAGGTGCAGTTTCTTCGCACGCAGAGCACCAAGCCGCCGCCGCCCGACACGAGTTTTCTCTCGATCGAAGTCGTCGAAGGCCGGCATTTACGGCTGGCGCAAGACGGCGCCGACGCCCAAGACCCATTTGTAGAGCTGACGCTCCTCGGTCAGACATTGACGGTACGATCACCACGAGCCAGAGACTCAGACTTGACACGATGGTCTAGACCAAGCCCCACGTTGACGGCGGACGGGATCCGAGCTGGAATGAGACGTTCGAGGTGCCGCTGACGGCGTGGTCGTCATCGAGCAACCTCCCAACGCTGACCATTTCGGTGCGCAACGCCGATGCGAAAAAGCACGGCGCCGGCGTCATTGGCGAGTGCCATTGGGTCATCCCGAAAGATGTGCTTCTCGACGGCAAGCTCCGGGATGTGATTCTCAAGCTCACCGGCGCCACGGACGGTGTCGACGTCCGTGACGACGTTAATGACGGCAACGGCGATATACAGCTGCGTCTCAAGCGGGGCAAGCTGCCGTCAGTGGTCTATGGTGACGCGCCGCAGGTGTCCCTTATGTCGGCCGGCGAGACGTCGGGCGAAGCGGGTCGGGCGACCAACACGGCTGGTGTCCTCTACCTCTTCTCGCGGGCCCCACCCACCGAGTTGGTGACCGTGACTGTCGCCACCGATGTGACCGACGCCAGCACAGAGACTAAGGTGTCCTTGGCGGACGTGGGTGTCGTGCGCGTACCGAGTCATACGGAGGCGCTCAAGCGAAGTCTCCCGCACCCCGCAACGTCGCTGCGACTGCGCTTGAACACAGGCGCCATGTCCCTGAGCGCCGACTACGTCCGCACTGTCCTGGCGACGCCACTGCGCGAATTTCGCGATACATATACGCTGGGCGCCAAGCCAACTGAAGCGATCGACCTCAGCCTCGTCTACGCCATGCCCGTGCAAGGGCTGCTGCGCGTTAGCTGCGTCGCAGTCGACGACGTGCCGGTGGTGCCGGGCACCTCGTACTACGTCGAGCACCGCATTCTGCGCAATAGTCCGTGGACCAAGAGTCCGCTTGTCAAGGCAACGACGTCGGGTAACTTGACGTGGAAGACGAACCTCGCGCTGCGGGAGCTTACGTACAGCAACCTGACGGAGACGCTGCCGCCGCAGACGCAGTGCGTGCTGTACGCTGCGAGTGGCGACGAGAGCGCAGTCAAAGTCGCGTACGCCCAAGTTTCGCTGCTCAAGTACGTCTTTGCGCCCGGCACGTTGTTTCCAGAGGACGTCGTGCCTCTCAGCTGCGTGAGCGGCCGCCCCCCCGGTACGGATGTTGGACGTCTTGTCTCTGACTGGAGTCGACAGGCGCGCCGAGGCTACGCCTTGCGATCGGCTTTTACCCGAGTGCCGCAGAGATATCGCCGACAAACGACAACGCTATGGTCCAGGCCGTCGAGCTCGCCGAAGGAACGGCGGCGCTCAAGAAGGCCTTTCTTCTGCTTGGCGGCGACGCCAGCAAACCCATATCGATCGATGTGTTCCGCGCACACGCCTTGGGGAACGACCAGTGCATGCACGTGCTGGCGCCCGCGGCCGAAGCGATTGGCGGTCTCGACAAGCTCTTCGCTGCGATGGACGCCAACAACGATGGCGAGATCTCGTGGGAAGAGTACCTCGACTGCATGCAGACCGTCCACTGCCTCGCCGATGCAGTGCTCGCCAAACCCGACGTGGTGGCCTCGACACTCGAAGATGAAGACGACGAAGATGACGAGAGCGACGATGACGTCGAGGTGGTGCCTCAAGACGATCCACAAGCTGTCGAGAATCGCCCGACGGCTCCAGTGTCTGTCGTACCGACGCCGTGGGCGACCTTCGAGCCCATTGCGCCGCTTCCAGCCCTCGCCAAGGGCATTCCTGACGCCGACAGTGACGACGACGCGCCGACAAGTCAAGTGACCAAGCGAAATGGACCGCCGCCCATGATTCCAGTGCCGAAAGCGTCGCCGTTCCCGAGCGCACCTGCGGCCAAGGCGATGGTCGCCAAAGCCAATGTCGCCAACGTAGCGTCCGTCGTCCGCGTCAACGAACGCGAGATTGCGACATGGAAGGTGGGCGACGTTGCGCAATGGCTCGAGCATACGATCGAGCTGCCCCAGTACATTGGGAGCTTTCGCGACGCGTCGGTGGATGGTCCGCTGCTCTTGACTCTGACGGCAGACGATTTGGAGCACCAGCTGAACGTGCAGCAGCCGTTGCACCTCCGCAAATTGGTGGCCAAGGTACGTTGTGGCGGTGTTTTGAATGACAGATCGATGGGACCGACTAGATTGCCGACCTCCAAGACAAGTATGGCTTGGAATCACCGCTGCCGCGGACGTCGTCCAAGCACCGACGCGCGCCGCCAGTGTCGTCCAAGAAGGAAGCAATGTTTGCCGCACGTCTCGACGATGCCAAGCTCCACGAGCTCGGTGTCCACAGCATCCAGCGCTCCAAGCTTGACGTCAAGGTTAAGGATGCCAACCGCAAGAGCAAGGCTGCAACTGCGATCGCTGCGGCCGACCGCCGACAGTGGAACTTTGAGTACACGGGTGCCCCTGCACCCGAAGCGCCCGTCTCGGTCGTTGAGCGTCTCAGCAAGGTCTTGGCGGAAGACAAATCGGCGTTCGACGGCGCGATGGACGATGTGCTGGCGCAGGTCGGCGTGCTTCGCCCGACACCACCGCTCTTACGGGTGCCTCTGATCACAACCACGGACGAAGCCGTCGAGATTCTCAAGCAGGTGCGTCATTTCCTTGCCTTGATACATTGATAGATTGAACCGTGCCTAGTCGATGTGGCGACTTGGCCACGACTGTGTGCGCGCCGAGAACGACCAGCGGCAGCGCGATGACGACGCTGCGAGTGACTTTGGAGACGCACCCGACGCGCGATTGGGGGACGCACCGAGTGACGCGGCCGACGTCATGAGTGTCACGTTTCGCGAGTTTACGCGGCTCCAAAACAACGGCGCTCGCTGGCTCAACGACAGCGCACCAACCGACGCCAAGCTCTCGCGCCTCAAGTTCCAAGGCGGCCTTCGCTCGCTCCTCAACATTGATCTCTCGTGGCATCAATTTGGTACAGCCCTTCTCTCCTAGCGTACCTTATATGTGCGCATGCATTAGACGAGCTGTTTCGACGTCTCGACCGGCGCAAGCTCGGCGAGCTCACGCTCTCCGACTTTGTCGCTGCATTTGGCGACCCGACGCCGGGCAGCGGTCTCTCGAACGACATGCGCGTCGTCAACGAAGCGCTCACACGCATGGTCGAGCGGCTGGACGACCTCGGACTGACCTTGTTGCAGGCGTGGCAGGTACGTTTGCGATAGTCGCATCCAACGACCCTAACCCTGTGCAGGCATTCGATCGAGACAACTCGGGGGCGGTCTCACCTGCCGAGTTTGGGACGCTCGTCAAGTTTCTCACGCACGTCGAGGGCCGGGACGACCTCACCAAGCACCAAGTACTCTGCGACGTTGTCGACCGTGGAGACTCACACTAAAGGACAGGTGTTTCTCATGATGGGGGCGCTCGATACGACGTGCGACCGCCACATCCAGCAGCCCGAGTTTCTCCGGTTCGTCTTTCTCGTCTGGTCGCACCGCCTCGGGCAGCTCCAAGACTACGTTGCGCGCTACGAAGCGGCGTACGCCCAGCACACGCGCTCCAAAGAGTTTGACGCCAACTTCGAGCTCGTGCTCCAGCGCAAACAGTCGCTGCGGCGCGCGCTGCGGCAAAACTTCTCGCGTCCCTTCCGCGATGCCATGCGCTGCGCCCCGGTCGCGGTCCCCGGCCCGTTCCAGAACCTCCTCGAGAAGCTCCATTTGAGCCCCATGAGCGACGCCCATGGTCACACGACTCAGATCTGGGAGGTGCTCAAGGGCGGCCCGCTACCGGCGGAAACACCGATCGCGACCCCGTCAACAACCCCAAAACGTACATTGGCAGGCGCGGCGTGTCCCGATACATTGATATTTGTGTCTAGACCGCAAGCGACCGCACACCAACGAGCTTGTCGTGACAAAGCTGCGTCGACAACGCGCGCCCGAGCGCAGCCACAGCGTGCTGCGTGCGCCTCCGGTGGTGGCGCTCGACCAAACCCAGCGTTTAACCTTCGACCGGAAAAAAGACCGCGCGTACAAGTAGGAGTACTAGTTAACGACAATCATATATCGCCTTACAGCTGGTCGTCGTCCATGAGGAAGCCGTTCGTGGGCATGTAGCCGCGCGGGCTCTTGGCGGCTGCGACCGCGGCCGGGTGCATGTGCCCGTCCAGTTCGTCCGACTGGTCGTCGAGCGGCATGTACTCGGCCAAAATGCTGCGCACCTGCTCGCGCATCTGGCGCTGGCTGCGCTTCCAGTACACGTAGCCGGCGCTCGCAACGCCGATACCTGCAAACGTCAAAATGACAATCAGCGTCGTAAAGCTCACGCCGTTTTGGATGATGCTGCTCGCGTCGAGCGCACCGCCTTGCTTGACGCAGCCGAGGAGCGCGAGCGGGTTCTGATCCGAGCAGCTGCAAATGGCCGGCGGGTCGTGCGTGCCGTAGCCGGCGCAAATCATGTTGAGGATCCCGCTCGTGTCGATGCGGCCACGCGCGTGCACGCCGTCGACAAAGAGCGCCGGCAGCCGGAGCAGCTGGAGCGCCGTCTGCTCCTTGAGGTCGGCCTCGAGCATGTTGTTGACCACGTCGAGGTCGCGGCCGTAGGGCTGCATGCACTGCTCGACAGCGTGGGCGTCAATCCCGTGCTTCTTCATGATGCCGAGCGCGCACTGCTTGTTCATAAACGTCTCTTCCTTCTGGTTGCACTCGTCGCCAAAGTCGTTGACGTAGCGCCACCACTTCTTGCCGACGCCCGCGTCTTCTTTCGACGTGAGCTTCCAAATGCACTTGCGCCGCAAGTTCTCAATGACCACGTCGGCGCCCGACGCGCCCGACATGCGGTCGTGGAACGGCGACGGGTCCATGAGGCAGTAGCGGCCCTTGTTGATGCACATGTTGCCGCACGGGTCGAGGCCGTCGACCACGTTGCAGCCGACGCGGGAGCCGTTGTACGCGACAAAGCGGGGCGTAAAGAACGCACGATCGCCAAGCGCGAGGACAATGTCTTCCGTCGTCTTGAGCGTAATCTAGCGCCACATGAGCATCGATGTCCAAGAGGAGGTTGATGAGGTGCCTACCGCGCTCTGCTCGTCCCACGAGCTATGCCACATGGTCCACTCGACACGCCCGTCCGGCGACGGAATGCCCCAGTCAAACTTGACCATAACGTTGCTCACGCCGTTCGAGTGCGAAATGACCTTCTTGATCGCATCGGCGTCGCTCTTGCGGATGAGCATCGACGGAATCGTAATGTCGCCACCCGACTCGTCGTCGTTCTAGCAGTAGGCGCATGAGCATTGCACTAAACAGGCGTAGTGAGGTAGTACCATGAACGGCAGCACCGTCTCGCAAAAGTTGTCGCCCGTCTCGCGCATGCACGCAATGTCCGAGCAGAGGCACTTGTTATCGGCGACGACGACCGCGCGGGCGCCAGCGTGCTGGGCGCGGCGCACCTTCTCGACAAACACGCAGTCGCCGCGGTCAATCATGAGCGCAAACGGCGGCTCCCAGTTGCCCTTGGGAAAGTCTTCGCACGCCGACGTGTTGAGGTAGATGAGCTGCGTCTCGAGCGACCCGACCGAGTAGCCCGGGTACCCAAAGAGCGCGTCCTTGTGGACGTAGCCGCCCTTGATCTGGAGCGACTCGGGCAGGATGATCTGCAGCTTCGTGTGGTCGTTCTACCGAAGGGCCATGAGCCATGGCCTACGCCAGCACCTCCATGTACCTCGATGGACGGCCATTCATTGACATCCGAGACGTCGGCAGCGGCCAAGGCCACGAGCGCCGCAAGGAGGAGCTTCATGCTTCGGTCTGGGGGAAATCAGCGACTGGCCTTCTTCTCGAAGTCCCAAGACATATTTTTATTGTCGAATCATTTTAATTACCCAAATCCAATTGTGGTATACAAAGACGCGTTGTTTCCGCTACCTTTTATAAAAATGAGCCGTCGAAACGAGAAAAAATATCGATCTTGGGGCCAAGATACACGAGCCAACTTTTTCGACCAAATCGGACGACCTACACTCTGCGGTTCGTATTTTAATGCAGTGAGCGCTCTATTTTTACTCCAAACTTCAATTCGTACCTAGTAAATGTATACCAAGACGCAAAATATCAGAAAAGAAGCACAGGATTCGGCCTTTCTAAATTGGTTGAACCTGGACCAAGTCGAAGCAACCACCGCGCCTCGCTGCTGTTTGCACGTTGTCGAGCGAGCGATCTGCTAGTAGATAACTAGTTGCTAATAGACAATAACGTCCGTAGTTATCTAGTACTTATTACTAATATAGCTGCAAAGCAAACGGCCGTACCGGCAACGCCACTGCGGACGGCGATTTTGACGAACACCCAGATTGCACTAGCGCCCTTGGTACGGGCAGCTAGCACTTCCAGCTTCTCGTACCCTACAGCAGTAGAAGGAGCGAGGACCTACTGCCCCACTGCCACACACCTACTTCGTCGTTGACCGTGTGCCAGATATGACGTCGTTCGCGGCGCCAACGTCGGCAAGCCCCAAGATAGTATCCGGTAAACCGTGCATGCATATCCGGATAGTTCAGAGCCTCCATTTCGACCATCAACGCTCGAGGAGGTAAAGCATGTCATCGGACGAAGGTACGGCGGGCATGGCGCTTGACGGCGCAGGCTCATGGGCGGCTCTAGACACTCGCAAGAAGAACGTCGCCGACATGTTCGGCGACGAGTCGGACTCGGACGATGGTGGCTTCAAGCGTACGTAGCCTGCAACGTTGATGGGGCCTCACGCCGGCCATGTGCTAGCGGCTGCCAAGTCAGTGAACGCCGACGCGTCTGGCCTCTTTGGCTCGGACTCGGAGTCCGAAGACGAGAAGCCCAAAAAGCTCAAGAAGGCCGCGCCCAAGCCCAAGGCGGCGGAAAAGCCCAAGAAGGCGGTCAAGCGCAAGTCGCGTGACGATGAGCCTGCGCCGCGTGCGCCCGAAGGTAGACATATCCCTTGCGCCCTCTCTGCAACGGCTCTGTAGGCGACGAGTACGACTCGGGTGATGAAGTCAAGCGCTCCAAGGCCGACGACGCCTTCATCGACAACGACGACGACCTCGACGACGTGCTCGATGAGTACGGCAACGACAAGCAGGTACACTCATGTCGATCCAACGCTCCTCGATAACCATGGCATGTACAGGAGTTCCACGACGAGCGTCCGGACATGGACGACGACGAAGACGAAGCGCCCGAGCGCCAGCAGCGCGAACTCGACTTCTTCGACGAGACCATGAAGGGGCTCAAGTCGGGCCGCGCAAAGTCCAAGATGTCGCTGTCGCAGCAAGATATGGAGAACATCACCCAAGTACCGTCCTCATCTTCCGTCTCTAGCCCGCTCAAGAGGCAACCTGCATTAGGAACTGCTCTACCGCATGGACAAGGCGTGCTCGGACGACATGCAAGCGATGGACGAGCACCGTCCGGCGCTCGAAAAGGTATTTAAAACCTTGGCTCTAGTCAAGTATGCTATATAACTGGAATCGCGTAGCTCAAGTTTGTCGACAACGCGCTCACGATGATGCGCAAGGTGCAGCTGCAACCGATGCTCCTCGACTTTGATCTGCTCGGCGTACGCCAATCTGAAGTCTGCGCCCAATCTCATTCCGGCTTTAGATCATCAAAAAGTGGATCCAGCCGCTCGAGAACGGCGCGCTCCCGAGCCTGAGTCTGCGCTCCAAGATGCTCGACATGTGCCAGCGCATGCCCAGTACATCTACCTGTCGACAGAAGGTTGATGCTTATCCGTCTACCTAGTCTACAAGGAACACTTGAAGCGCAGCGGCTTTGGGAAGGTCGTCATGTCGCTGTGGAAGCACCCGGACGAGGTACGCCGCCACGTCATCGAATCGGACTCGGACGGTGCGTTAGACGCCCGAAAACAAGGAGCTCTGCCGCCTCATGATCGACCGCTGGAGCCGCTCCGTCTTCTCCAAGACGCTCGACTACTCGAAGCTCGGCGAGTACGAAGCCGAGAAGCGCGAAGCCAACGGCGGCTACTACCACCAAGCCGAGAAGCGGTCTATCAACTTGATATGTATTTGGGTTGACGGAATATGTCATAGACCGTCGGGACGTACCGAGTCGGTGCGCAGCAAGGGCTTTATGAACAAGCGCTCGGACGCGAACGAGGACGCGGACGCGTCGTCGCGCGTGCGGATTCCGCAAGCGATGCGCTTTGACTTTTCGCTGCGCCCGCAGCCCAAGGTCGACGTCAAGAACATTCCGTCGACCAAGATGGACCCGGACTCGAAGAAGGCCAAGCTCCTGAAGCGCATGCAGATCATTGCACGCCCGAGCAAGGGCGGGAAGCGCGCCGTCAAGATGAGCATTGAAGGCCGTGGGTTGTAAGCCACTAGGAACGCGACGCCCTCGTATCACTACTACTCTACTACGTATCTTAATAATGGAGCTCTGCACTCAGCTCCTTGCAGCTGCCACGTACACTTTCTGACTCACCCTTCCTAGCGCAAACCTGCCTCTTGTAGCTATTGCCCATGGAGCATCGTTCCGTCGTGCGTCTTGTGATTTTTATTGATTTTCGTGTTATAAGAT